GAAGCTTATTATGGAGAAATGGCTAGAGAGATGCTATCTCCCCACCTGAAGTATTGGCCGGTTTATCTCTGGCAGCGACTCAGCCTGGGCAGGGGGGCAAAAGCAACAGGGCGATCACCTACAACACTTCCTGCTCTCCAGGGATGCTAGAGGCACCCCCAGCCCACGCCTGGTGGGGCTGAGCACCTGGTCAGGTATGGATGAGTAGTGCAGGCCCTGAGAGAAATGAGATGAGTTGCAGGTTCAAAGTCTTTCTCAGGGTACAATCTGCATCCAATTTGGAAAATGATGGAGGAAAGAGATGGAACCAGAGGACTTAGTCCAGCATGTTCTGGCTGTGGGAGCCTGGGCAGGTCCCTGCACCTCTCAGCCTCAGCGTCTGGCTCAGTAAAAAGGAGGCAGTCTCAGCTGATCTGTCTTCCTCCTGCGGTTGTTTGAAGGTTTTCCGAAAGGCAGTATGCATTTTGCACACAGCTGGTGGTATTAGGCACATCTAGATGGTACATGAATGGGGGCATTTTTATTCTAATAGCTATGTATTGATTTTATGTGCATCAGGAATATATATATATATATTACTTTGTTGATCTCTATCATGTTTCTCTGCTTTATTTTACCTCAAATCACATATCACCACCTGACACTGTATAAATTTATTAATCCATTGTGTGTCTCCTACCACTATGAGATCAGGGGTTTTTTTGTTTTGGTTTTGGTTTTGGTTTTTTTTTTAAAGATTTTATTTATTTATTTGAGAGAGAATGAGAGAGAGCAAGCACATGAGAGGGGGGAGGGTCAGAGGGAGAAGCAGACTCCCTGCTGAGCAGGGAGCCCGATGCGGGACTTGATCCAGGGACTCCAGGATCATGACCTGAGCCGAAGGCAGTCGCCTAACCAACTGAGCCACCCAGGCGCCCCAGGGGTTTTCTCTTTTGGTGTACCGATGTACTCCCAATGCCCCAAATAGTGCTTAGTACATAGCAGGTGTTCGATAATGTTTGTTGACTGAATATCTAACCATGAGTTCACTGATATTGTTGCTTAGGGTTGGGTCAACATTTTATGTTTTGAGCTTTGGTTTTTAAGTGGACAGATTTAAAGAATGCAAAGCCCAAAGTCTGGGGGACCAGCAGGTAATAGATGTGGAAATGCTTATCCACTGGCTAGCCCAGCCAGAGAGTATCTGAGGTCATCAACATTATTGGCAGCAGTGACAGCAGTGGGCTTGGGGGCCAGAGAGCAACTCAAGGTGAGTGCCAGGGTCCCAGATCACTCACCTGCAAAGTAAAGGAATCCCTCTTTGTCCTGTTTCCCAGGTCCTCTCTGTGAGAACCATGTGAAGTAACCAAGCAGAACTGTTTTACACATCTGCAAGAGCTATGGATAGGGTGGTAGAATTCTGTTATTATATAAACACTCTGGGTGCCACCCAACCTGACCAGAGCAATGCCACTCCCATTGCACGTGCTTTCCAGAGCAGTCTGCGAGGGCTGTGGAGTAGAGCCATACCTGGGCCCAAGTCCCAGGGCTACCACTTGGTACCTGAGTGATCTGAGCAGTCTCTGGACCTTATTTTCTGCACTCAGTAAGTTTTCACTCCATGTCTATAAAACAGGGATAGCACAGCTGCCCTGTAAATGGCAAAACAGTTGTTCTGTAAGTGACAGCTGTTAGGTCCCAGGTCTAAGCGACAACCTATGTTCCCCTCAGTCTGATGGGGAAACTGAGGCATGGGGAAGTGGGGATCATTAGGATCACACATCTTGTAAGAGGTGAAACCTTGCCTCAAACTCAGGAAGTCTGATCACCAAGCTCCAAGGCTGTCCACACTAAGCTACACCGCCTCCCTTTAAAAAAGGATCTCTGGGTCCATGGCTGATGCCTTCATTCATTTACAGAACAAATGTCATGGATGGGGCGCCAGGATGGATGGATGGATGACATGAGAGGTGCCAGGCTAGTCAACAACTTGGACAGGTTCCCTGCCCTCATGGAGAGGGAGTCAAGAATGGAAAACACTACCAAGAACAAATGGATATGGGGGCTCTTTCTGACAGTCAGGGAAGCCCTCTTGGAAGAGGAGACGTGAGTGAGAAGAATGGATCAATCTTAGGGGAAGCCTTCAGGGAGGGAATTCCAGAAAAAGGGAACATCCAGTTGCAAGGACCATGCAGGGAACGGGCGTGGCATAGTCAAGGGACAGAGAGAAGGCCAGGGTGACTGAAGCCCAGGGAGAGGAAGAGTGGTTCCAGAAAAATCAGGAATGGCAGATAGGAGCGAGATACGGTAGCATTTTTACAGGCCAGAATAAAGAGTCTGGGGGTTGTTCTAAGTGCACTGGAAGCCTTTGGAGGCTTAAGTAGTGGAGTCACACAATCTTACTTACGATCACTCTGACTGTTCTATGGAGCATAGATTAAACAGGGGGAAGAGTGGAAGCTGGGTTATTAGTAATGAGACTCCTGCAGTTGTTAATTCAAGAAATGATGGTAGACATAAGGGCTCATGTCCACCAAAAGATGTGTATAGGAATACCCATAGCAGCATTATCCATAACAGCCACAAACGGGAAACAAGCCACATGCCCATCCACAGAAGAATGCATGAACAAATGCAGGACGTTTATACGGTGGAGTACTATACAGTGATGAAAAAGGAAGACCCAGTGCTACCCAAAAGGACACACATGAATCTCCCAAACATAATGTAGGGAAGCCAGACAGAATCATACATTCTGTTGGATTTCATCTGCAGGAAGTCAATATGGGCAGAATTAACCTATAGAGAAAGGGGCTGGGGAGCAGTCACCCCTGGGGTAATAGTGACTGGGAGATAGCATGAGAGAGCCAGCTGGGGTGGGCGAAATGCTATCTACCCTGATTTATGTGGTGGTTATATAAATGTGTTGGAATGTAAAATCCATCAAGCTGTGCACTTATGATCTATGCTCCCTATTATGTATGTGTTAGACCTCAATTTTAAAAGACATTTAGGGGCAGCACCTGGGTGGCACAACCAGTTAAGTGTCTGGCTGTTGGTTTCGGCTCAGGTGATGATCTCAGGGTCGTGGGATCGAGCCCTGCATCAAGCTCAGCACGGAGTCTGCTTGGGACTCTCTCTCCCTCTCCCCCCTGCCACGTTCTCTCTCGTTCTCTCTCTCTCAAATGGATAAATAAGGTCTTAAAAAAAAAAGGTCTTTTTTTAAAAAAGAAAAAAAAAAGTTCCTCAACTAATATGAGCAGAATCCAATTCTCCTGACTCCCAGTTCCGTTCTATTCTCTCCAAGCCACAAATCCACATGAAATATTTCAGTAATGCCCAAAATTTAGCCCTAATAAATATATAAACCACACATGCACACACACACACACACGAAGAAGAAACTGATACAGTGGCTCAGGGTGGTGGCTGAGAATGAACTCAACGGGTGTTCTGGAAGTGAAACTGGTCTCCTGGGGCCCCTGACAGCTCTGTCGCATGACTTGTGAGCAGCCCTCTCTTCCTTGTCAGCCAAACGAGGGGCGGCTCTGTGGCACCCATGGCCCCAAGGGACAGGATTCCCCAAGAGTACTGGAAATGTCTGGCAAGAGGTCCAGAATGGTGAGCTCTAGCTCCCCCACCCCTGCCAGCTGAACCGGGAAGTCTCAAGCTGCTGGGGGGGAAAAAACCCTGCCTGGTTTTAAGCAACATTTGATCTCTGTCAACCACAGAACTGCCTCAGAACTATTAGAGATGGAGCTGCAGAGGTAGACTAGACTCCTTCTGCCTATTTTTAGACCAGCAGCCTGCACTGCCTTCTGTGTCACAGCAAAAGGACTGTAGGTTGGAGTCCTGCTGCTTGGGGAAGCCTCCAGAAAGAGTTCCCAGGAGCCACCGGATGATGGGCTGGGAGGTACTTTGCTTTCTTGCAGCTAGATATGTGTCTTCAATGTCTCTTTAAAAATTCTGGGAAACTTTTAAAAAGCAACAAGAAACAAATACATACATACATATATACACATACATATATATAAATTATACGCACATGCACACATGCACACACACACACAAATGGAGTCCCTTCTCAACTGCTTTTTGTTTTCACTTAATAACTGATCTTAACTATCTTCCAGTGTCATTTAATAGACTTCAAGTGCATCTGTTTTATTAGCTCCATAATAACATAATAATCGATAACACCAGAATTCATTACTGCACACCGTTCTAAGTGCTTCTCATGTTTTTGAGCCTTTCATCCTCACCTTAGAAGTAAGTTCTAGTATCATTATCCCCATTTTACACACAAGGAAACTGAAGCTTTGCCCAAGGTCAGGATACAGCCCTGGCTTCCATGCAGGTGCGCCTGACATCCAGGCCTGTCTTTTACCAGCGTGTTGGCCCGCCTTGGGATCCCACCTGACAAAGGTGCTGGAGTGTCTTGAGTCGAGGGGCCCCTCATCAAAAATCCAGACTGAGTCTGTGTTTTGCTCCTTGTTACCCAGCTGGGTTTAAGAACGTCCTTGTGCATAGCTAGCTAACTGGGGCTCAGCATGACCATTTCCTTAGGATAAATGCTTAGTTGTGAGACAGCTGGCTGGAAAGGTATGCCCCTTACCAAATTAACTGCCCTCTGGAAAGGCTGTGTCATTTACTATCCCACCAGCAGGAGATACTGTCTGCCTTTGACAACTCCTCCTGCTTTTAAAATCTCAGCCAGGAGTGACTCTCCAGCCACCTTCTCTCTACTCTTCCCTGAACACGTGGATGCGCCATTGATTGAGGGTGACCTGGGAGAGTGGGTGTGTGTGCTTTATCCTCACTTCTGGAACACAAGCTCCTGGAAAGCACAGACCACAACTTATGCATCTTTGGGACTCTCCCAGCCCCACGGGCAGCCATCTGCGCTGGGAAGAGGTCATGTCCCTGAAGTAAAGGACAGAGTCTCACCTCCTAGCCTTTGCATGTGCTGCTTCCTCTGCCCAGATCACTCCCACTCCACTCCCCTAGTTATCCTCACTCACAGGCTCGGCGCTGGCCTTGCCACCATCACCACCTCCAGGAGGCCTTCCCTGCTCCTCCGGCTGGGCCCGGGTGCACCTCCACAGCCACATCTTTACCCCTGACATAATACTGACCACACTACATTATACCAAGTTTCTTCAAATCTAAGCTACCGCCATATTGTGTGCAACCCTCAGAAAGACTCTGGCACAATGCTTTTCCCTTTTTTAAATTAGCAGCTTTACTAAGATAGAATTCACATACCATACAAGTTGCCCACTGAAAGTGTACAATTCAATGCATTTTCGTATAGTCACAGACTTGTGCAACCATCCACAGTCCATTTTAGATGGTTTTCATCACCTCTAAAGGAAACCCTGTACCCGTTAGCTAGCACCCCATTGCCCCTACTCCTTCACCCCTACCTGGTCATAAGCAACCATTCATATACTTTCTGTCTCCACAAGATTTCTCTATTCTGGATTTTTTGATGTGAGAGAAATCGTATAATATGTGAGCTTAGGTGTCTGGCTTCTCTCACTTAGCATAACACCCACATTGTAGTATATAGCAGTACTTTATTCCTTTTTATGGGTGAAATAATATTCCATTGTAGGGAGAGAGCACACTTTATTTATCCATACATCAGTGGATAGACATTTGGGTTGTTTCTGCCTTTTGGCGATTGAGAATAATGTTGCTCTAAGTATTTGTGTACATGTTTCTATGCAGACATAGTTCTCATTTCTCTTGAGTGTATGCCTAGGAGTCACAGTGCTTTCTTATCACTGAGAATGTTTATTTCTACTTATTTAAAAAGTGCTTTTAGACTTATTTAGACATCAATGTTTTATCACATATCATGCTGACGCATACTTAAAAAAACTGAAGCCAATATATTGGCTAAGGTATTCCAAAAAATGTCTTCACTACAAAGCCCAGGGCCTCTAAATCATTTTTTAAATGATGGGTGCCAGTGTCCAGGGTTTCATACAAGACGTCATCCTCTATGCCATTAAGAACATTAGAGATATAAGAATTCTTAAAAGATAAAGCCCCACTCCAGGCAAGGCTCACCTCACTCTGACTGCTGCTGGTCAATGGTGATTTTACACTGTCGATTATAAGTTCCATCCAGATCTCAGAGAGGTTAATATGGGGGGAAATGTGCATCTTAGAATTTATAAAATAAAGTCATTTCCTGCCTGCTTGCCTGTATCCCACACAAAAGATTGTAAGTATTTTGAGGACAGGAACCAAGCTTCTCCACCCTTGTATTCATTCATGCTCATAAGTCAACAGAAACATATGAAGTGCTTAACCCCCGTCCAATGCACAAATGAATGAATGCTTTGGAAAATAAAACTCACTCACCTCCAACTTGGGGACGACCATCAATTTGTTCATCGCCCTGAGCTGTTTCCCGATCTGTGAAAAGAGGGTGGGGTAGTGCTGAGATTGAAAACAAGCTCGTGAGTGCAGGGCACCTAGGAGAGTTCCTGCACTCAGTGGGCTACTTAAAAATATCTGTGGAATGAAAGAATAAGTGAGTGATAAGATAGTTACCATTGAAGCTAAAATTGACTGCACGTTTGTCTGTGGGCCAAACCTTGTTCTCTGTGCTTTACGTGTGATAACTCATTTTGCTCATCCGTCATTTAATCCTTAAAATGACCCCACAAGGTAAGAACTAACATTCTCCCCAGTTGACAAATGAGGCACAGAGGGGTGAATGAATAAATGAATGAATACAGGAATGAGTGAATGAATGAATGAATACAGGAATGAATGAATGACTGCTGACCTACGTTAAAATCCCAGACATTCAATTTCTAGAGGGTAAACCTAGTCAGTCCGTTCCCCGTCTGTAAAATGGGGAACTAATCACTTGTGTCTCACAGGTGGGTGCTGCAGAGGATGTGAATCCCTGTGTGTTAAGCACCTGACTCAGGTGCAGATGGGCAAAATGAAGGCTGACCCATCTGCCATGAAAAGCCCTTCGGGGCTTGGCCAGGTGACCTTGGGCAAGTTGCATAACTTCTCTGACCTCATTTCCTCATCTGTAAAGCACCCTACATCCCCAAGGTGGTGGTAAGGATGCTTGAAATCACCCCCACAAAGCCCCTAGCTCAGCCAGCAACTGCCTTAGAGGAAGCGTCACACTGACAAGTGGTCCTTACCCAGCCAGGTCTGCTTTCTAGGAAAGCTAAACAGCCCACACCAGCTCCTCTCTCTCAAGTTGAATCCAACATGTGCCTGAAGCGCCAACCCTTCGAGCTGTCAAGACAGGCTGGGCAGAACCCAGTAGGTGCACTCTGCTTCCCCCAAATGAATAAATCATTACAGGAGAGCGCGATGCATCCCACCAGCATCCATAAGGACCTGAATTATATATAACGAAGCAGCAAAAGCAATTTATCCCAGGCATGTGCAAGTCATAAAATGGGAGTTCTCGGGTGCTGGAGACAATTTTCAGATATTGCGGGTTTTATCAAAGCAATAAGGCCCAGCCAAGGAGCATCCTGCCCCACAGGTGTGGGGATACCTTAATCGGGTTTATTTATTATCAGAGGAGAGAACTCTCTCTCTCTCTCTCTCTCTCTCTCCCTCTCTCCCCCTCTCTCTCTCTCTCGACTCTGCCACCTCCCCCATCCACCACCCTGGTGTGGCTGCTTCTCGGCTCAGGGGTTCTGTAGTCTGGGGATGAGCTGCCAAGAATAACCGCCCTTCTAGTGGGAACCGTCTGCTGAGAAGCTGGAGGTGGGGCCAGGTGGCCTCCAAGTCCCTGGAGGAAGAGAGGAGCGGAAGAGGGGATTACAAGAGAAAATGGCACGGTAACAAAAGCTCTAAACCAGAGCACAAGGGTCCCACCTCTGCCACCGATTACCGGCAGGGAAACTGAGGCACTGAAAGGTGAGGTAACTACGTGTCCAAGCTCACACGTGGAGAGAGGAGAGGAGCTGGAATAACAAGCCAGTTGGGTTCGATGGACGTTCAGCGGCTGCTATGTGCTGGCGGTAGGGATTCACCGGAGAGCTGTCCCTGCACATGGGACTGCTTACTGCCTGCCTCTCTGTCTGCATTTCCAATGGTCGTCCTGAGCCCTGCGGTTCAGCCCACAAGCCTGCCTCGCCCATGATGCTCAAACATGCCAAGTACGTTACGTTCCCATCTCAGGGCTTCTGTACTTGCTCATCTTTCTGCCTGGAACACTGTTCCTCCAGATCCTTCCATAGCTGACCCCTCACTTCCTGGCCTCTGCTCAAATGTCGCCTTCTCAGACACGACTTCCCCAACCACCTTATCCAAATCCGCAAGCCCCTCTGTGCCATGATGCTCCATCACCTTGTCGCATGTTGGATTTTCCTAAAGCCAACACAGAGATGAAGTGTGGCGTGTAGAGGGGAAGCAAGTGTGGACAAAAGACAGAAGATACACGATGACATCAGTTCAACATAGCTTCATCCACCCTGGAGACAAGCTCCGCAAGCACGTATTGCCCACCAGCGAGTCTGGAGTCGGGCTGAAATGGCCAGGCTCTGGTATCCACCCTCACATACGCACTGGATGCAGGGTGCCCTGGGAAAGATGTAAGCTTGGGCAAGGTGGCTCTCTGCAGCTCAAGCAAACCCTGAGGAGGAACAAGTGGGGGCCATGTGCTGACCACCCTCCCCACAGCTGGACAGCAAGTCCTTCCTCAATGGAAGACATGGGTGGCACACCTCTATATCTACAACACCCCTTATCCTGCTTTATATTTTTTCCCAGCGCTTACCACCACCCAACACTGTATATAGCTACGTATCGTTGTCTCTCATGTAACTTTCCATGAGGTTTTCAAGGATAAAGGCAATGGCTGTCTTGTTCTCATTTCCTGGAACAGTACTTGGTACAGAGCAGATACCCAGTAAATATTTGCTCAATTAATTAATAAATGAATGACTGCCCTCCATCGCTCCCAATTTAATAGGAGAGACTGACAAATGAACAATTACATTTCAGTGGTGAGCACAGCTGGTATCCCAGGGCAGTGGGGGGTCTCTAAAACAGCCTGGGGTGGAGAGTGTCCAGGGAGGGCTGTCTGACTCCAAGTCCACTGCTATTCCCACTACACCAGGACAGGACACACAGGACACACTCAGCCCTTACTGCACTCGGGGCTACCCCCTCATCCTGATATGCTGCTTATGGTTCCTTAACCATTTCGTGTTTTTATATATTGCCTTTCCAGCCACGTCAGAACTTCTCTGAGCCTAGGGAGCACATCTTGCATTTCTTCTCTTTATCCCTCTCAATGCTACGATGGTGGTTTGGGCACCAGTCACTCCCTGAACCATTTCTGGGTACATGGAAAAGGACTTTAAGGATGCAGGCAGCACAGGTGTGGGTAACCAGGTTTTCTAACCTCCAGTTCAGATATAAGGTCTACAGAGATATTGTTCAGTGAGTACGTCCAGCCAGATACTGTGCCAAGCACTATGCATAAATCACACCTGTCAATTCTTATGGCAGCCTTACAAGGTAGAAGCCTGAATATTGTCTCCATTTTACAGATGAAGAAACTGAGGCTCAAAGAGGGGAAAACATCTGCCCAAGGTCATCTGGTCAGTATGTGGTAGAGCCAACAGACACACCTGAGCTTTTATGATGCTCTTAATCATTACACTGACCTTTTGAGGTTAATGAGACACATTGTTTTAACTCATGATAGAATCATAAAACCTGGGTGGTGTGCTCAACATCTCCATCAGCCTGAAGTCACCAGGGTTTCTGTATTCCTGCAGGGAGCAGAACAAATGGCCAGTCAGCCATATTCAATATCATGTCTGTAGTAATTCCAGATGTCTTTGCTCAGCCGTCTGTTGTGTCTCCACCAGAAGAAAGAACCAGCAATCTGTCTCCCAAAGAGATTCATATGATAGCATGAAGGTTAAGTGACTGCACCCAGATCCTTACAAACAATGGAAACCTGGCTCTCGCAACACACTGAGAGAGGTATCATCCCTCAGAGTTAGACTCACATTAGCCACACTTTGAGACTGATGTATAAACCAGATGACAATTTCTTTATTTGCAAAGAGAGATTACTACTGCAGAGATTGGTTCAGAAAATCTATACAACCAGTGCTTTCTCTCCTGGTAAGAAGACCAGCATGAGGAAATTAATAATAATGTGGTTTCTTGATGTGTAAAATTGGGACAAGGAAAGATGGATGCATTCATTTAATGTTAGTGGCAACAGACTGAAATGGCTGGGAACAAGCATTTTTTTTTTTTTTTCCAGATGGAATCGTAACTATCACAAGTCAACTAGCAAAAATATCTGCATCCATCTTGTGGTAGAGATTTTTGGTTGCTGCCAAAAGGCCACTATCAACCTCCTTTCTCATGGCTGCTTCACACTATAGAGATTAGATAAGCAGACATTCACTCTCCTTGGAACTACAGTTAGTCATCTCTGGCCGATGAGACATAATGGTAAGTCATCTAAGAGGCTTCTGGGAAGATATCTGGCTTCTTGGCAAAGGTACAGAGGCAAGAGAAGAACTCAGAGGTACTAACTCTTTCCCTTTCTTTTTGCTTTAAACGTGGATGTGATACTTGATGTGATACTTGGAGCTGCAGCAGCCATTTTGCAACCATGAGGAAGATGAAAAGCCAATTTGCTAAGAATTATAGAATAGAAAGGAAGAAGGAGCATGGGATCACTGATAACATTGTTGACCTACTGCTCCAGAACTGAAACTTCCTACATCCAGAATTTCCATTAGAAAAGTCCATTAAATGCCTTTATTGCTTAAGCCATTACTGTTTCAGTTATCTGTTGCACTATTCCAAATCACCCTAAAACTTAGCGGCTTAAAAAAATCCACCATTTATCACCTCTCATGATTCTGTGAGTTGACCGGGCTTAGTGGGGTGGTGATTCTGCCCCATTTGGGGTTGACTGGAACTGCAATCACCTGGAGGCTCAGGTGGGAAGAATGCTCAGAGCAGCTCACTTGCATGACTGGCAGTTGGCTGACAGCTCAACCTTTCTCCATAGACTTGGGTTTCTCACAGCATGGCAGCTGGATTCCAAAAGGGAATCTTCCAGGTATGCACGAGTAGAAGTTTCAGATCTTTAACAGCTGAGCCTTGGAAATGACACAGCCCCACTTCTATTTCATTCTGTTTTTTTGAGATAAGTCACAGGGTGAGCCTGGATTCAGGGGGAAGGGAAAGAGACCCTGCCTCTTAATGGGAGGATGGCAAGAAAGCCTCAGCACCTCTAAATGACCATAGTTATCAATCTGCTTTTCCATGGCTTGTATTGAAAGCAGTTCTCTACAACAAGCCTTGCCGATGGAACAAGAAATAGTCAAAGATCAAGACTCCCTCTTCACTGAAACAAGCTGTAGTGGCTGCAGTCAAGGTTGGCATTTACAACTCTCTGTCCTCCAGGCTTCTGTGGTAGATATGATGGATACAGCCTTTCTTTAAATATGTTAATAAGTTCCATCACATGACAAAACCGGTCTTGCAGACCTCGCCATCCTGTCTCTTTAAGGTAACTTTGCATTGCTCTGCTTTGATCTATAATGTATTGACTTCATGGTGTAACTCTCAGAAGGCAATCTTCACTCCCTATGCTTTCCAAGTGCTTGATAAAAAAAACACTGCTGTAGCTCCCTAGACCTGGCAGCAACCTTCATCAAGACCACTGCCCTGTGCATCACAAGGTTGTTGAAAGAATCCGATGAGGTGAGAGCTGGAAAAGCACCTCGAAATGGTTAAGAGAGATTATTGTCATCCTAATCAAATAAGCATGTTGTGTCAGTTATGGCTTTTTTGGTAACGAGTGACATAAAACCCGATTTGAACTAGCTTAGCCAACAGGAGCAATGCTGGCTGGGAGTCTGAGGGAGTCTTGCCAGTTTCGGGCATGGCAGGATCCAACAACTCAAACATCGTCGGCAGGCCCTATCTTCTCTCCACCTCTTGGTCCTGATCTTCTGTGGGTTGCTTCATGGGTTGCAATGGCTGCAAGCAGCTGTAGGTGCACATCCTGCTGGGTTCGCTTTCCCTAATTCTTGAAACAAAGGTCCTTCTCCTGACTGTTACTGGCCCGAGTTGAGCAATATGCCCAATTCCTTAACCATTCCTTATGGCCAAGGGCACACAATGAGCTGACTGGCCGGGCCTGGATCACATGATGACTCTAGATCTGATAGGATCGGTTCCACCCAAATTGTATGGACTGAGAATATCTGGGATGCTGTCACCAGGAGAAGGATGAACAGCTACCCACTGTAGATGACATGGTAGAAGAGCTTTGGGTAAGGACTCTGGAGCCTGAGTTATCACCTTGGTCCCACTGAATTACTTGCTCTTGCTCCCAAAGCTTGCATTTGGCCCATCATGACCTCTATGTTGTGTCGATTTACTATCAGGTCATCATGGTATCCTACTAAATCTGACTGTATTCCTTAGAGACTCCTGAGAGTGAATGTGATTAGTGCAGCTCATGTCCTTTTTATAAAGTCTAGGCCCTTGGCCAGGTTATGGAATAGCTGCCCCTGTGTCATGGGCTACCACTGGTCTAATAACCTATGGCTGGGGAGGGAAGACGCATGGTACAAAACATGGCTAACTCAGCAGGTACACCATGAGCGAGCAGGAAACACAGATATGACGACAAGCAGGGAAATGGAGCAGTCATGGCAAGAAGTAGAAGGGAAGACTGCAGGTCCGTGAGAAAAGGCAGGAGGGACTCCCCCATCCCTGCCTCCCCTAGAGGAAAATCAATCCCAGTAGAAGACATTTAGAATGACTCAGTTAATACTGAGCCCAAATTTTCAAGCAAATCATGGGGGAGAAAAGGGGTCTGACTGGAACTTCATCTTGAAAAATGAAACTGAGCTTATCATCATAACAAAATTCAGGTTACCATTTCAACTATGCATAAATTCTTATGAAGAACGAAAAATGAATTAAGTAGTGAAATTTTTTTTGGTGTAATTTTTGTGACAAAATCCTTCACTTCAGGTTTGGTTTTCACAGCATGATAGCAAAGAGGTCATTTAAAAAATATTCAAGGGCTTCACCAATTTTTCCTAAGGCCCGCTAGAATCTTTTGATATTTAAATCTTTCTCTTTTGAAGTGCTCACCGTGTGTGTCACTTTCCTTGTCATTTTTTTTCTTCAACTGTTAACTCTTTTTGCGTTGATGCGATATTCAAAATATTGAATAACCAGCATGATACAGGCACCAATCAACCAGAGCAGTGACCATAACAGCCGGTGTGGCTGACCCTGTGATGTCCAGCTGAATATTGTACTAAGGACACCTGATTCTCTTGGATTGTCTGTGATTTTTCTGTTCTTTAAGCAGGTTTCCACACCACTTTCATCAGCTTCCTGGAATCCTGCATCTTGGGCAAGATTTTCAATCGACCAATTGCTGTTGGATCACTCTGCATATGCACCAAGGTCAGACAGTTGGTGAGAGACTGATTCTCTTTGACAGGATATCTTGGTTGTTAAGAACCAGCAATCCATTCGAGGACATGTGATGGGCGTTCACAATTCAGGGTGTCCTTCGGAGAGACTGAACCACAAGGAAGTTGACACGGCAGGAAAGGATTCAAGCTAGGGCACATAATGGAATCGGTAAAAGCTTCAATAACTAAAGTTGCATAATTAATGAAAAACATTTTAATGACAAACTTTTGCTTTTCCACACGACTTCATCACGTCATGGGCTCAGATGATAAATATTCAGTAACAAAGACCCCCGAATTCTGTTTGTGAAATGGCTTGCATGGACTGACTGCCCCTTCTTGCAGCCACTGAGTCCTAACAAAGAGCAGCAGGATTTGCAAGTAGGGTCTACCAGATGGTTTCCACATAAACATCAGAGCCACTTGGAATAAAATACGATGACCATGTATCGGTCTGACGTCCTCTGAATTTGTTTCCTAATAAAACATTCCAATATCAGCCTGCATTTCAAACTAGAAATCCTATTTATAAAATTCAGGACAGATCTCTTACTTAGCTGTAGACTTCACGCCCCCCAATTCAGACAGGGCTGGCACTTGCCTGGCTAATCGTGGAACAGAACGCACTGTAAACACACAGGAGTGGAAGGAGCAGATGAACTGCAGAATTTCTCCATTGTGTCTTCTTGCTGAGGCTCTGGAGTTCTGATCCTTAGCCTCAGGAGTCAGGGTTGGTGTGCATACAGGCCCCTGAGTATTTTCCTGCCCCCAATTTTGAGGAACAACAGCAATTACTTCATGTTCTGCAATGTTAATTAATTTGAGTGGGTCAAAGGCTCGCCCCGATCGGAAATAGTTCCAAAAATGGACTCGTGATTTTGTAGACTGAATTTTCCTTAATTAACTTATAAACATACTTCCTTCCCCTGCCTCAAGTCAGAGCTTTTCAATCTTGGACTAGAAAAGCAGGAGAATCTAGCTGTCACTGGCTCTCCAAAGGGCACAGTGATAAAAAACTGAGGTTCTGCAACGAGACCGGTGTGGCTATCAATCTTGATTCTGCGACTTGCTGATTGCGTGCTTTTGGGTAAATCACTTAACCCGTGTGGGCCTCAGTTTTCTCATCTGTAAAATGAGGAAAATAATAGTACCCACCTCGTGGGGTTGTCATGTTAAGCGTTTTGATAAGGTGCTTCTAAGGCATCACAAACGTCCAAAAACTTTGATGAATCTGACCCAGTACTAGATAATCTGTCTCTTCTTTTTCCTACCAAGCGTCCGTTATTCTTTCCTGTAGTAACAGTTCCTTGGGTGTCCTTTGAGTAACCACTCCTCCTCTCTAGGGTGGTTCAAGGGGTACTGAATAATCCACCCTGATTCCAAGGCTGAACCTGTGTATTATTTTGCTAAGGCTACATAGACTGGGTGGCTTAAACAACAGAAATTTTCTCAGTTCTGGAGGCTAGAAGTCTGAGGTTGAGGCACTGGAAGGGCTCATTTCTCCTGAGGCCATTTCTCCCTGACTTGCAGATATCATTCCTCTCCCTGGGTCCTCACATGGTCTTCCCTCTGTGTGTGTCTGTGTCCTAATCTCCTCTTCTTATGAGGACTCCAATCATCCCACCCATATGACCTCATTTAACCTTAATGACCTCTATAAAGACCCTATCTCCAAATACACTCACATTATGAGGTCCTCGGGGTTAGGATTTCCACATATGAATTTGGGGGAGTCACAATTTGGCCCATAACAACCTGACCTAGATCTGGCCAAAACATTCCCCTCTCCCTAGTCAGAGTGACTGATTCAATCCTAAACATTGTTTTAAACTTAAGTACAGGGAATTTCTTCATCTGCAAGATGTGTGCTGTAAAGATAATGTGGAATGGAGCTGTTGTCATCACCATGTGGGAAAGATCAATATAGAAGAAAATATAAAAGAGAAATGGAAAGAGAAAGACTGAGTCCTGAAATCATCATCTGAGCCCCTGGATCCTGCTGGGCCTGAAGCTCCCTTTGACAGTACTCATAGAATCCATTAAAATCCCCTTTGGTGGCTTGAGCCAGTTTGGAGTTTCTGTCACTTGCAACCAAAGAAGTCTTGACGGGGATAGCCCCTACTTAATTATTAAGGAGCTTGTAGATCCCAGGGAACAGAAAGGGAGAGGATCAAGGAACAGAGCTGGGGAGTGGAAGGAATATTTACAGAACAAATCAGGCGGGTAGCCATAACCATATAATGCAGGAATCAGGGTAGATTTAGTAACAGATGTGTATTCCTTTAACCTAACCTAATGTAAGACAGTTTGACTCTGCACAATAGTGAAGACAAGGAGTTCTTCACTAAACCACAGACTTCTCAAAAGGCAGCAATACTGTTTTGTTCAGATGCAATGTAGCTCTAGTGCCCGGCATGAAATGAACACTCAAAAAATATCTGTGGACTTGAACGGGCTTACTAAGGAATCTTTTGCATTTTATGGCTCAATATAGACATCCTTTAAATAATGGATTTGCCATAGTATTATATTTGCACTCACTGTTGAAGAGTTACATTGATAATCATACAGCAGCCAAGTGTTAACTTTAACAATGTCTAATAACTCAAAAAAGAAACTTTCAAGTGTGTCCCTCACCACTGGCAGACCAGTAACTAGCCATTTCTTTGCACATCAACTGCATTATAATTCTCTGTTGCAAGGTGGAACTGCTCTGCTTGGCACCCATTACAGCCCCTTGTGAAAGGGGTTTGGATGGGAAAAGAGAAGAATGTGTATTTACGACACTGCATAAACAGCATGGAGTGAGCACGGAGCGACCTTGCTCTATGTGGATTATCGCACCACTGGAGAAGAACCCTGGACTTGGGAGACTCTGAGTTTCTACCAAGCTGCTGGTAACCTTCCTGTTCTCCCCCTGGAGAAAGAGGACTCCTTACCCTGGAAAGGAAGTACATGTCTCTGGGACATGGGGTCACCTCCAGGTTTACTGCCTCCGAATGTGAGCCAATATCCTCCAGGAAGAGAACAGAACGTCATCATCCTGGAATATCTCCAGGGGGAGAGAGGTTCTCTATCTTCACTTTGCTATTCAATCATCCCTAAACTAAGACCATATGAAAACCCAAGAAATCCAGGGAGAATGGCCTCCCAGCAAACTTATGTTGAGATGACAAATGGAAGGAACCTAGATTCCTGAGTCACCAGATGGAAGACAGCCTTTGCCAACCTGCAGGACCAAGAAATACACTTTTATGATGCTCAACCATTGAGATTTCAGGTCCCGTCTACCATGGTAGCTAGTGTTAACTATCCTAAGATGATTGTAACATGCACCGGGCAAATTATACTTGCATGAGAAATAAGAGAGCTAGACACCATGTAGTGAGTTCCAAATGATAAGGATGGGGATAAGATTTGGGAGCAGGCAGAAGATTATGAAAAGTCATCATCTTACCAGTGACAGAATAAAAGGAAACAGAATTTGAGAGACAAGCCACAGCTGTCCAGGGACACATTCCCCAGGCTCAGCACATCCAAGTGTCATCAGTACCCCCATACCCACTCTCATTCACGAACATTACACTGAGCCAAAGCTGTGAATGACTTTCACACAGTTTAGAGATTTTCAGATCATCTTAAGCTCAATTACAGCTAAACCAATAATAAACCCCAAACATCATTACTGGAAAATCACCAACCAGGCCCACTAATTGTATTTGCAGCTTCTTCATCATATTAGTAAAGTCATAAGTGCAGCATGCTTTTCCCAGGGGATAGCCATTCACAAGGCCAATTTCCTTAGTATGAGACTTTCACATCACATCAGTTTGAACTAATGCGTCTCGGGAAATAAACTGTCAGATCAATAACATTTGCAACAGAAAATATCTGGAGCAAATAGCAGAGTACAGCCTGCAGTTGAGACTTAATATGATCCTTACCTGACACTTGGAAGCTGTCATGACTCAGAACCTTTGGGGCTTTCCAAGGGGTCAATTTGGAGATACTGTGGAGACACAAAGAAGCTCCATTACAATACTCTGTGACCTTTTCCTAGGAAGCTCACCATAGCATCACCAATCTGGAAAAAGCAAACAACATTTATTAAGCTCCTTCTGTGTTCCAGGCTTGATGCCTTGATCCGTGTATGTAATGATAATCAGTCTTTATAGAAGTCCATAAAGGAGTTCAAATTCTGGATCTAAAACTTCCTAAGGCAAGTTTCTTTACTTCCCTGAGTCTCAGTTTCCAAATTTGTGTAATGAAAATAATAATAAATACTTTCCAGGGGCATTCTGGTGACTGAAGAGAAGGTATGGATTGTGCCTATTTTAGTGAATGGCACACAGTAGGTGCTCAATAAATAATAGTTATTTCTATGACTCTAGGTACCTCTTTGTAACTGAAGTTAAATTAATGTTTCCCTTTCAACTAGACCATTTGAGGGAAATAAGTTTACAGGCCAATCTAGACTGATCCACATAATCTTTCCATGGAAGTATAAAAGGCATGCCATTCTGTTTTTGAAGTAACAGAAAGAAATTGTCAGCTTCTCTTCTTTAGTTTTTCCTATATTCGCAGGAAAAGCCCTTGACATAACCTAGCATTCTAGGAGTATCAGATAAAGACTGAAAAGCCAGTAAAGAAATACAAAAAGCATGGAAGGCTGAAAAGTATTTAACAATCCAGAGCTGGGGTTCCTTTTGAACCAGTGAGGCCTGGGATTGAATTCTAGATTGGGCACTTAGTGAAGGTGTGACTTTAGAAGAATTAACAGTATTTCTCTGTGCCATGGTTTACTCTATGAAATAGCAACACTGCCTGCCTCCAGGAGGTAAGGTCAAAACTAAATAAGATGAGGGATGCCTGGGTGGCTCAGTCAGTTAAGCGTCTGCCTTCAGCTCAGGTCATGATCCCAGAGTCCTGGGATCGAATCCTGCATCGGGTTCCTTGCTTAGTGGGGAGCCTGCTTCTCCCTCTGCCTGCCACTCCCCCGCTTGTGCTCTCTCTCTAAGAAATAAAATCTTTAAAAAAATCTAAATAAGATGATAAATAGCAAAACTGTAATGAATGTTAGTTCTCCCCACCTCATTTTCATCTCCTATCATTACAAGCTTGAAATTAATTCCATAAACGTGTATTGGGCACAGTGGTGGACTCTGGTGATATTGTGTAAATGAGACTGACAAGGTCACTGTCTTCATGGCCCACACCACATCCTGGAGGGGAGAAGATAAACTATTCAGCCAATTCCACAAATCAGTGGAAAATTACATTTGTGAAGAGAGCTGCATTAACGAGAGTTCGCTAAGACCACCTGGCTGAGGCGTTAAGAAAGGCCTTTCCCTGAAGAAGATCCTTCTCTCCTGCCCATTCTGGGTGGTGAGCGTATTTCCTAATGGTGAGAGGATAGGAAGTGGCACTGAGAGAGTAAGCTGGCCCAGATCATGCTGGGCCTTGCACGGTGAACTGTGGGGCCAACATGATGCACAACCATGGGAGCCACCAATTAATTACACTGAAAACACACTTTGTGTTCCAGGACCAGCAGCCCTAGGAGGCAACATGCAGAAAACAGAAACTGCAAGGGACCAAAAGCATAAATAAAATGCAGAGTATGTCAGAGAAAGCATTCAGAAGAAGGAACAAATTATGGAACTTCCAAGTGCAGCTGTGATGGAGTCATTGTGGCAGACCAGCGTTCCCACCACGTGTAACTAGAAAAGCCGTATGGGGCACAAACACACACAAATTGTATTTGAAAGCCCTGGGGTGCCTCCAGGATTTGCAGTACAAAAATCCTAGAAAGAAGCGGAAGTTCAGTGAGATGGGCCTGACACTGTGCAGATCCCTTTTTTCCTCAGGACACTGATGACTCTTAAGCACCATGGGGTGAGAAGCTCAGAGGCAGAGCAGGGGGTAGCTGCTAAGAGGGAGAGAAGCCGGGGCGCCTGGGTGGTTCACCCGGCTAGGCATCCGACTCTTGATCTGGGCTCAGGTCATGATCTCAGGGTTGAGAGATCCAGCCCTGCCCTGGGCTCCGTGCGGGGCATGGAGTCTGCTTAATGCTGGGCATGGAGTCTGCTTAAGATTCTCATTCTCCCTCTGCCCCCGCCCCCAGCTCACGCATATTTGCTCTCTCGAAAAAAATAAAAATAAAGATAAAAATAAAAAATAAAAGGCAGAGAAGCCATCAGAGTGGTTAGGATGCTTCCTGAGGGTGGAAGACAAAAATTAGTATTTGGGGATGTCAAAACAGCTAGGAGTTGAAGGTCCAAAATAGTCCTCCCAAAGAAAGGAGGTATTGAGAAGTGATCCAAAAACACTGTACCTATTTCCCCCCATTTGTGCTGTATGAGGCAAGCAGTTTAGGATCAAAGCAACTATATGAGAGATGACCTCTCAACAGACATGACAGAAGCAAAAAGGCAATGAAAGGAGGTGATGTCTAAGTTAGAATTCTACACATACTGAAAATAACCTTCAAGGATGGAAGTAAAATAAAGATATTTTCAAACCAATTAAAACTGAGAGAATTTGTCACCAGCAGATCCAACTAAAATAAATACCAAAGGGGGTTCTATAGGCAAAAGGAAAATGATCCCAGACAGTAATGCAGGAAAGACTGAAGAGCAACAGAAAAAAAATAAACGTATGAGTAAATCTAAATGAATATTGAAAACATTAGCAATAATTTCCTATGGGGTTTAAATACATGTACATTTAAGTGAATACAATTAAAAACACAAGAGGCACAAGGAAGATAAATTAGACTGTAATAGGCCCTAGAATTGTCTGGAAACTGGTGAAAATAACTGATTTATATTAGACTCCAGTAAACAAAGGAGGAATGTCTTAATTTTCAGGGTAACTACTAAAAGAAGGCATAAGTAACAAGTTAATAAGAGAAAAGCTGGTTTAAATTTTTTTTTTTAAGATTTTATTTATTTATTTGACAGAGAGAGACACAACGAGAGAGGGAACACAAGCAGGGGGAGTGGGAGAGGGAGAAGCAGGCCTCCTGTGGAGCAGGGAGCCCGATGTGGGGCTCGATCCCAGGACCCTGAGATCATGACCTGAGCTGAAGGCAGACGCTTAACGACTGAGCCACCCAGGCGCCCCAAAGCTGGTTTAATTTAAAAGGTTTTTTTTGACTGGTCCAAATTAAGGCAGGAAAGGAGGAAGGAGGGGAATAGAACAAACAGAAAGAATAGTAATAATGTGGATATAAAACCAAACATATCAGTAATTATATTACATGTAAATAGACCAAATATTCTAATGAACAGACCCAGTTTATCAGACTATATCAGAATGAAACAGTATATGCTCGTATGAGATACACCCTAAACATAAAGACACAAAAAGGTTGAAAGTAAAAGTAAGGAAGAAAAAATAAAACACTAACCAAAAGAAAGGCAATACAGTTATACTAATATCAAACCAAGAAAACTTGAAGGCAAGACACGTAATTAGACATAAAGAGGAAAATTCCAATAAAAAGGTTAATCCACCAGGAAGATACAACAATTTCATATTCATAGGCACAAAATATCATACTTTCAAAATATACAAATCAAAAATCTAAAAAGAAAAGCAGACAAATCCGTAAGAGTAGTGGAATATTTTAACAACCTCTCTCAGGAGCTAATAAAACAAGGAGACCAAAAAAAAAAAGTGGTATAAAGATCTAAGCAACATGATTAATGAATTTGACTTGTCTGACATTGGACTCTTTAGCAAGAGATTGGACATAGCTTTAAAAAAAAAAAAGATTAATGAAATGGGGTAAGTCAGTGGAAAACATCCACTGCACCCAATGATAACAGAATACATATCCTTTCAAGTGCACATGGAACACTGACCCAAAATGATTGGAACACTGGGTCATAAAACAAATGTAAACAAATTGCAAAGATAAATATTATCCAGAATATATATTCTTACTACAGTGCAATTATGGCAAGAATCAATCATGATAACTTAAAAATCTCTTAAAACCTGCTTGGAAATTAGGGTGAAAAAAATCACAGGAGTGCCTGGGTGGCTCATTTGGTAAAGCATCTGACTCTTGATTTTAGCTCAGGTCATGATCTCAGGGTTGTGAGATCAAGCCCCAAGTTGGGCTCCGCGCTCTGCAGGGAGTCTGCTTGAGATTCTCCCTCTCCCTCGGCCCCTCCCCCTGCTCATGCTCGCTCGCTCTCTCTCTAAAAAATAAATAAATAAATATTTTTTAAAAATTACACACAAAAAAGAAAAAAATCACAAAGGAAATTAGGAGTATTTTTAACTGAATGATAATACAAATAAGACAGGAGAAAGTATGGTGAGTAGCTAACACTCTTGTTAAACAAAAACTTACAGCTTTAAATGGATATACCAGAAAAGAAATGAGGATGGAAATCAATAAAATAAATATCCATCTCAAGAAGTTAATGAAAGAACAACAAATCAAACTGAAAGAAACTAAAAGGAAGAAAGTAAGATAAAAACAAAAATCAATTAAATAAAAAGAAAACTTACATAGGGAAAAATCAACAAAACTCAAAACTGGTTCTCCGAAAGGCTAATAAAAATTGTTAAGTGCCAAGCAAGATCCTACGGGCATGGAAAAGATAGTATTATCTTACAGACTCCACAAGCAGACTCCCCACTGAGTGTGGAGCTCAAAGTGGGGGTCAATCCCAGGACCCTGAGATCATGACCTGAGCAGAAACCAAGAGTCAGCCACTTAACCACTTAACCTGGAGCTACCCAGGCGCTCCAGAATTTGACAATTTAGATGAGACTATACAATCTAAAAGAACACACCTTACCAAAATTGACACAAGGAGAAATAAAACATCTGAATACTTATGTATCTATTAAAGAAAGTGAATCTATAATTAACATTCCCACAAAGAAATCTCCAGACCCAGATACCTTCACTGGTGAATTCTTCCAAGCATTTAAAAGAGATGTAATACTGACCTCACAAAACCTCTACTAGGAAATATAAAAAGATGA